AATTTTTGGGAAATAATTTAGAGCATTTACCATTTTTCATGCAAGGGGAAGATCTGTTAGCCAACCCACATGGACCATGAATCATATGTGTCTTTACCAAATGATTTAATTGTTTATCATCCGTTTCTGCCGGTATTTCTGCTGAAATAATGTTGTTGATGTCATCCGGAGTGGGAAACTTGTTCTGGTGATGCATGAAAAGTAAAATGTGTGCATGGGGCAAACCTCTCTTTTGGAACTCAATGGTGTATATATCTGGAAGAAATTAAAATACAGTAAAACATTAATTTAAAATCATTGGTATAGAATAGGGAAGAATTAAGTATTACATATTTAATTTCATGTGGCTCACATGCAACATCTCTGCCCAAGACATGCTTCTTTGTTATATCATACAGTAATTTGTCAAACTTCATTTTAAAAACCCTTGAGATTATATCAGGACGATCTTGAGGTTGTAAATTCATGTTGTTAAGTAACCTCTGAATCTCTGGCCAACATGGATTGCAAGTAAAGGTAATGAATAGATCGGGAAATCCAATTTGACTACAAATTGCCATTCCATCAAAGTATAATTGTTCCATGTATCTGCGACTTCCAACGTATGTTGACGGCAACACCACTCTTTTGCCTTTGTGGGCTCCTTCATTTGAAGATTGTTGGTGTACTCCTGACAAATTGGAGTATTTGGATACTCGTAATTTTTTTTTATGCTTACGTATGTAATTGAGTCGCTGTGACTCCATCATAGTGATTCCATCAACCAAAAATTGCTGAAACAATCTCCTTGACCTGAGCAGTGTGTGAGCTTCACGTTGTCTGGTCTGAATGCGAAAGGCCAGCCATTCTCTAATATTAAGTTTGTTCATCTTTCCTTTTTTTTTGGGAACTGTCTCTCTGTGTAGAACACCAAGTCTAAATCCATCTTCCCCGTACGGAAACAGAAGTGGATATTGTAATGCAAGATAGCTCGGATGAAACTCACTTATTCGTTTTAGTCTACCGCTTTGTCTTTCAAGGATAATATCCCTTTTTGAGCCTGTATCAACATCACCAACAATGAGGGCTGCAACCTCAGACACGGTGGGTTGGTTGTAAATTCGTCCATCCTTTAATCTATCAGATATTAACTTCAACTTGAGGTCAGGTACAGGACAATCCTTTAGTCTAGTTGATGCCATTCTAAAAGATTTAGCATGTGTGTTGAATTCGTCAAGCATGTTCTGTATTCGGCTAACAGTTTCTTCAATAATATTCTGGTTGTTGCTGCATTAAAAAATTAGACACATGTCATGCACGATAATAACAAAGGTAATATAAAGTAGGCATCTCAGTTGGCTTAAGAAACATAACCCTATTCCTTGCATCCTATGATGAATCTCATTGTCAGTGTCGTATATATAAAGCTGAGCGAATTTCGGTTTTTCGCCATGCACAAGCATCATGCTACCAATTCTATGGCAAGCCTGCCCTTGAATTCTCATGTTAGGTGGTCCATTTCCATTATTGAATCTATTGTCAATTTTCATTCCAGGAGACGTAAATGCAAACATTATGTTGTACAGTCTGCAATTCTGCTGATAATTTCTACATAGTACATCGTTTTCATTCGACAGAAGATGTTTAAGAAACGGTGGTGGTGTTCTCAGAAGTGGCAACACAACTTTACCCTTTCCACAACATAATTGGAACTTAGGCACTGGACTATGTTTTCTCTTGACAACCTTCTCCTGATACCACATTTGTGCTCCACACTGAGTGCATTCAATGGAAGGATCACCAATATCTGAATATCCTGTATTTATCAGATAGAACGAAACATCATATATCTTATACACATCAGTATATTCATAGACACCAAACTGCATGACAGTGAATTTAAGTTATGGTTTGCTATTAATAATAATTCCAGCAATACATACCAGCATTTGTGCAATCAATTGTTGGGACATTTGCAGAATGATCTTCGTCGTTGTCCAGACTTGAACTTGTATCATAATCCGGATCTTCATTTATGAATTCACACGAACTATCGGTTAAAGATTCATCGGATGAATAGTCTGCAACTGATTGTTGAACTGGGTTCACTGAGTCAGCACTTCTGAACAGATTGGTATTAAGGGAAGTTGACATCGTTTCTGTAACACTTGAAAAGGTTTTTAATAGATTCGCAGTCGTTGAACGAATTAGATTTGGATCAAGATGTTTGTTGGATGAAGATGCATAGGAAGTCGGTAGTCCATATGAATTATTTTTGCATTTAATACTTGATGAGGAGGTAACGCCACTCAGAGATGTGTTAGCATCAAACGGTAAAGGGGAACAAAAGGGCATTCTATCAGCGAGTTTGATCTGCAGATGACCATGATAGCTGTTGTTTTGGGGACTCTTACGCTTCATTATTGACCTCCTTCTTTGACGTGCTGAAGCAGAAATTTGTTTGGGAGAAATTGTATCAGTAGAAATGCATGAGAAGCTGGGGGAAGATGTAGGTGTTGGGGTTGTGCACTGGTTAAAACCAACACTCCTTCTCCTTTGTTGGGAATTAAGCATTACGCACTCTGTTCGTGCAGAAACATCTCCATGGCCATTGACAAAAACAGAACTGATATCAGACAGTGGCTGTCCTGTATGATGTCTGCTTACATAACTTGAATTATTTAGGTCATGGTTGTGCTCAGTTGAATTTTCATTAACTCTATTCTTCTTAAATCTTCTTTCATCAAGAACATGCTTCCTCTTTTGTCTTGCAAGTGATGCAGAGTATTTCCTATCTACAAAATGGTTGTTCATAGTTGAAAGAGAATATGGTTGATAACTTACAACTCTTCATAAGTATAACATAATGAATGTAAGAGTAACAAACCTATATGGAATTGTTTGGTTTTGCAGTTCATAACATTTGTATTCTAATTTTTAAGTGTACTCAGATACTCTATTTGTACATTGGATATGAGATAGGGTACAGTGCATTGCATCAGTGAAGTTGCTATATAACATTAATTGTGTTTCATCATTACATTATATGCTACCAAAGCTTAACAATTATGGGTAGAGGTTAAAAAAGTTAATGTCACATCAATACCATATGTTGGCCAAACTTTAAACAATTATTAGAACACCAAATATTATAATATGACATTAAATACTGTTATGTTGGAAACACAAAATTGCCATTGGAAACCAAAGGTTATTCCTATTGTATTCTATACTATCATCATTTTATTTTTGTTTGTAACATGTAACCATGGTTTGATGTAAATGTGTAAAATTAAAAGTACTTCCAAAAATATACATTTTCCGAGGGATATAAAATGAAATGATCAGAAACTGTTTGTATTCTACATGTCATGTATAGTGTCTTATGTAACTAATGCTTGCTTGTTGGGCCAACAAAAGTTATTGTCTAACGTCAATTTTACTCCATCTCCCTGTCTCTTCGGTTTTCCATCAGAAACAACATTCCAAGAAGACGATACACCTTTGAAACAGCGTTTTGCTCCAGACAGCACCGGCCAACCAATACGATGAAGAAAGAGTATCTACGTTGGTGTTCCCGCGGGTAAGTTCTTCCGTTTTGACACACATGTTTCTAAACTTGCAATGAGATCATTTAGGGTTTATACAAAGATGTCTGTGTGCATGATGGGCATGAATGAATTTATATGCAGGGGATTCGTTGGTAGAAGTCACACAACCACGACTCCTAATCCTAAATGGAAAAATCTGGCTATCCAAAAGGTTTGGAAGCAATCAGAGGATAAGCGGGACAAAGTAGAAGAATGGAGAAAGTTGCATGTAGAGGCTAAGAGGAGGAAAGAGGAAGCTGAAAGTTCTTCAAGGTAAAACAGTATTCTGGAATGAGTGTATTTTCATATTGATAGTGAAAAAAACAAAAAACTGAATGCATGATGTTTGTTGTTTTTTTGATTAAGCAGCAGGAGTTGCATAAATTTTACACGTGCTGAACTTATGGACAAATACTATGAGTATGTCGAAAGAGAGGAATCGTACGAACTGAGAACAGGAAAGGTGAGAAGCTGTCTATCAGTGGAAAAGTACTTTGAAATAGCCAGAGAGGAGGGATGCCTTGTTGACATATCAGACGATGAGCCTGAACAGAATTCCACTGATGAAGCAATGGAATCAGCGGGCGATGTGTTGGACAGGCAAGCTTTTAGGTTACATATATACATTTGAATATTTGACTTTGCAAATTAGTAGTTTAAATAACCGTGTTTGTTAATGCAGCAAGGAGAACAACACTACTGATGCTGCTGATGTTGTACAACCTCCTGCCATGCAAGAGAAACTTGTTTGCAGATGGCAGAAAGTTGTTAAGAGCAACAGCCAGATAAAAAAATCAAGTTCTTGTAAGCTCTTGATCTGTTTGCTGTTACAGTTCGTAAGGATGCATAACATTGAATGAATAGACATAGCTAATAAAGTTTTAATGTTGCAGCACTTTCCAGCAGCAGTCATCAAGGAAATCTTCATGGAACCAAGATCATATATTGATCTTCATGACACAGACTCGGGTATTACGTACCAATGTGTTTTCAAATCCAGGGAGAACATGACCGAGAAGTTTCTGTCAAGGGGCTGGTTTAAATTTGCAAAGGACAAAGAGCTGACGAAAGGTGACGTTCTCTTATTCAGTGTAGAGCATCCTCCTGTGGAACGTATATTGGTCAAAGTTGAGAGAGGGCAGCATTGAAAGGAGTTGTTGATTGGATTACATGGGAAGCATCATGGCAAAAAGGAGGGATTATTTTTGTATGGGCGGAAATGCATAACTATTTGTTTTGAAAATCTATTTGATGCCCATTTGTCTTTGTTATTAGTTTTGTTATTTGATATTGTTGGGCTACGGCTCAATGTACAATCTGCTTATGATTTGTTAAATGGGATGATACGAAATTAGTTCCATATCTTGCGTTGATGAGATAATTGCATATCGTTTCCGGTATTATCCGGTAACAATTTATATTAATCAAGTGTCATGGATTTCTGCTATGCATAATCTGTTATTCATGTATTAGTTTTTTAGATTAATGTACAGTATGCTGATATACTACCGTGTATTATGCATAAAGTATGCAAAACAATATGGATTGTCCAGCATCAAGACATAAAGAGAAACATTTTTTCCTTTCAAAGACACTAAGTTAACAACTCAGCAGATTAGATGACAGTGTAATTTAAAGCGCCACTAAATACAACATTAAAGTTATATCAAAGTTATATCTAACTTACATATTAGCCAAATGGAAAATACCTCCATCAAATCCAACTTCATCTGAAGGGCGGACTTCCCAATCAACTTTACACAATCTACATCCCAAAATACGAACTTGTATTTTAACTTTCCATCGGAGGCAAGCACTTCAAGCTTAAATCTGTACCATGCGTGATCAAAATAAGAAATTGTCAGTAATGAAGCGTTTGGTTATATGATGATAATCATTGATATGCAATACTTAGAAGTTACCTTGGGACTGGCTCAGAACTGATGTGTTTGGAATAACACATGAATTTTCCATCCTTCAAAGTCACACTTTTGGTACATTCACTACATCCATCATAATACCATCCTGACTGCCCACATTCAAACTTCTCCAGAGTCGCAACAGTCACACATGTAGTTTCCTGAAACAGAAAGATGGGATGATGTCTCAAAAAATGGATTAGAACCCAGTCTGTGTAATTCCTCAATCTAAGACAGTCATGTATTAAAGAGCAACTTACAGTCTGCAGATATGCAATATCAGACAGACTCAACACTTCAGCTTTCCATACAAATTTGTCCAAATCAGAAAAAACAGAGGTATTTGTGGTTTCCATTTGCATGCTCGAGGATGAGAGCGTCGGCAGATCATCTTTAAGTCTGATGTACATAGATCAGAATGAAAACAGGCTGTTAGTAATCATAGGTTGCTAATTCATAACTTCATAATAAAATCACTTACTTCTCTTTAAGGTTTTTAACCTCCTCAATAGACAAATCATTGATGAGCAGTTTTGTGCCGTTCCAAGCATTTAATACATTTAAAGGATAATTTCCTGAAAATTGAGATATTTATAAATGACAACACTTAAAGTTGGATATAATAATTGGATATAATAAGAAATAGTCACATAGCATACCTTGAGGTTCCTTGATCCTTGCATTCATAAGTAGGAGAACAATACTACCATCAGCCTTATGAGTCGTATAATACTCATTCAGTTGCACAGCTAATTTACCCCAAAGAGTACATTGCACATGATGTTTGCTGATTGACAGGAATTACAAAACAAACAACATGAACATGTTAGACTTTTATATTTATCAGCATCAATGTTAACAAACAAAATGAAACACCTACCTCAGATCAGTTAATGAAAACACAACCTTGCTTTTGTTGTTATCAGGAATTATCTGGGCTTGGGATATTTCAGTAACCCCACCAATTATATCTGCACAAAAGTTCACCACAGACAGTTATGTATAACGGAGAAGTCACAATACAATGCGTTCTATTATAACAGTAAAAATGTAACTCACCATATAACAAATTCGTTCTGTATTTACCCTCAATAATAGCATTTATTCCAATTAACTTGAGGTGGTTCAGAGGTATGTCAGCAAGTTGGACCTTTTTGACGGAAGTTGAACCACAGAAAATCAATTTGAACTTATGATCAGTGGATTTGAAGGAGAAATCATTGCTGGAAACTTTGAAATTCTGCATTATGTAGGAACAACCAAGTTCAAGCTGTGTTTTGAATTTTGATACCAAATAAGATGGCACAATGGCTTGAATCAAATCCAACTGTGAAAATACAAACATCTTGAAATCAGTATCATATACCAGTACTATTACAACAAAATCAGAATGGCAAAGCAGAAACGTTTAGATTGTATTATACCTTTGAATCAAACAGAATAAGCTCTAAGTGCTCTCTATTCTGAGAACTGGTAACATACCACAGATGCTTACATCTAACAGCAACCTTCCACAAATTCTTCGAATCGTCAATGCTACTGATATACTCGATTGGGCGCGCCATCGTCACGCAGCGATTCGTAACAGCGCAGAGAGCCTTGCGTGAATGAAAACGAAAGGGACGTCTGTAGCAATGGCTTGCGTGAATGAAAACGACTGGAAGGTGTTAAGCAATGGAGGTTATACATAAGTACACATTGGGGAAGGATTGAAGGAAGAGTGAAAAACTTTTGGTGTTCCATTTGAATTTGAATTCTGATTAAGAGAGGCATAATGGTTTGGCATGGGGAAGAGGAAGAGAGGCACAATGAATGGCAAGGAATAATGAATTGGTATTCCCCATGGTTGGGTTTCTCACGCTGCCTGCACAATAAATTGAATTGGTTCTTTATTTTAAAAAACAGTATAATATGTGGGATTTATTTGAAGAAAAAAAAATTGAAAATGTGGTGAAAAATTGTGGGAGTGCCACATCAGATTCAAATCAATGAGGTGCAAGATATTTTGGAGTTTCCAATTTTACCCCAATACAATAGACCAACAATGGATTTTTTCAGCTGTGGTGTTGTGGTAATTTCCAGAGACTATCATTTTTATAGATTTATAATAGATAGATAATAGATTTTTAGTGAGATAGTCTAATCATCCATATTTTTTGTTGTTTTACTTTAAATGCTCGTTTAATTAGTTAATTAATAATGATTTTGGTAGAAAAATAAAAAAAGAAAATAGACTGAACCGGATCTCGGTAAGATATCGCACTGAGCTGAGCCAAATTTCAACGATTTCAGTAAATCTATCTCTCTGTGATTACAATAATTTCATCACACTCTTGTCCGATTTGAAATTGACCTCAAATTCATTTCAGATTCAGGTTCAATTCGATCATAACCCTCAAATGCAATGGTGGTTTGCAAATGTCGCAAGGTATTTCTTCCTTTCTCTCAACTTTCTGTTTCCCTTTTCAAAACACTGAATTCCGTTAGGTCAATTATCATGCTTGATTCATCAGCTTTTATATATAGATCCGATAATTCGCAATCGCAATCTAGTTTCGTCAATTCAGATCAATAGTTGGTGATTCTGTTTGCATTTTTTATTATTCGATTTTTATTTTTCAAATTTAAAAGATCCATAGAAACGTGTGATTTTTTGCTGTTGCCTTGAATTAGAGAAGTAATGATTTGTGGTGTTTTTTAGGCTACTAAGCTATATTGCTTCGTGCACAAAGTTCCTGTATGTGGAGAATGTATCTGTTTCCCCGAGCACCAAATCTGCGTGGTAATTTCATTTTAATATATTACATTTTGTCGGCGTATTTGTTTTGGGAATATAAATTGAGGGGAAGAAAATTAGTTATGATTGTTGATTTGATATTATTCATAGATTCGGACGTATTCAGAATGGGTTATAGACGGGGAGTATGATTGGCCGCCTAAATGCTGCCAATGCCAAGCTGTTTTAGAAGAGGGGAGTGAATCTCAAACTACTCGACTTGGTTGCTTGCGTACGTGATATTTGACTTTGTATTACATGTTCAAAATGTCAACCTGGTGCTGACGTTATGAATTTAATTTTTGTATAGATGTTATCCACACAAATTGCTTGATCTCACATATCAAGAGCTTTCCTCCACATACCGCTCCAGCAGGATACGTGTGTCCTTCATGCCCCACTTCGGTAAGATGCGATTGTTTTTAGCGAGTAGATTTTTGGTTGAAAGTAGTGTATTTGCTTACCTGCTTTTAGCTTATAGCCATTATGTGGTTTTAATTCAGTTATCTTCAAAATTGAAACATTCATTCTTAGTGTTCTAGATTCTTTGAGCAATGTCTATAAAGGGAAAGAAAATAAGTTGAAATTACTCTTGAGTCTTAACTGAAAGTTAGTCTGGTTCATGGTGAGAGTGGAGGGCGAGAGTGTGAGTTAGTAATGGAAAAAGAAAAACTCATTCGGAGATAATGGAGAGGGGCATGCAGATTGTAATTTTGTTTGTTGGAGCCTAGAGTTATCTCTGGCTTGGGAGGGGATTCATCCCTTTTTTCTTGTAACCCTTTTTTACAGTGATACTATATTATTTAATGGTGTATTAGGGAACTTACATGAAAAGTAGTTGTTCAGTGAAATAGAAGTACATTATGTATTTGAAAATTGGAACTCAATTAGTTACACTCATGACCTGTAGAACAAATATTGTAGTTACACACATTAGACCTATGAAGCACGGACACCGAACACGAACGACACCGACACGTCGACACCGATAATAATTTGAAAAATGGAATAAGTCAATCGTAATCATAAGAGTCTGTGTCAGTTTCGGACACCGATACTGACACAAACACACTTTTATTTAGAGGTGTCGGTGGTACAGGGTATTAGACACACGACCTCTAATATTGTAGTTACACAAGTTAGACGCATGACCTCTAATATTGTAGTTACACAAATTAGACACATGACCTATTGAACTAATATTGTAGTTACACACATTAGACACATGACCTGATGAACTAATATTGTATTTACACATTACACATATGACTTGTTGAACTTATATGATATAGACCTCTAATTGTGTTGATTATGATTAATTGTGCTGATCACGATTTATTATTTTATTTACTTTTAATAAGTTAACATAACAGAATTTTTAAATTTTGAAGTTTAGTATTTTTAGGATAATATTTAGGATTAGAACAAAATTTTCTTATTAAATAGAATATTATCATTTTAAATTTAACCTAGTGTAATTAGGACTCTTCTATTGTAAGCCTATTTAATGGCATTATGATTGAGAATAAAATTATTATCAGAAAAACTTGGGAATTCAAGAAGAGACTCTGTCAAGGAAGAGTCCACTTTTGCCTTCACCATAGGTTGAAGGAAAGATTCTACTGCGTCTAGGACTGTGTCAACACGATCTCAGATTAAGGACCATAACATGATAGTGTAGTGACACACATTAGACTCGTGACCCGTGAACTAATATTCTGATTATGCTTGAACCTTCTTTTTAAGAGTTCCACATTAAACAGTATATGGTGTGAACATGTTTATAAGTGGATGCAATCCTCACCTTCCAAACTGGTTTTGTAAGGTAGAGTTAGGCCTAATCCACATTCTAAGATGGTATCAGAGCCACATTCAAGATTCGTTGGCACCACCTGATATCAGGTTTCCGCTATCAAGCCACCTACTATTTATATCTACGCATCAAGCCCAATAGTATTGAGCGCAAGAGGGTGTGTTAAGAGTCTCCCATTGGACAATATATGACTTAGAACATATGTTTATACGTAAGGGCAATCCTTACTTTACAAACTATTTTTGTAAGGTTGAGTAGGCCCAATCCACATTCTAAGAATTCTATAAATTTCTTCGTGCATTGGTATCAAAACAATTCTTTTTTGATGTCTCATTTTGGTGAAATAAAAACTCGTGCAGATATGGCCTCCCAAAAGTGTGAAAGATTCGGGTTCTCGTCTGCATTCCAAATTGAAGGAAGCTATCTTGCAGGTAACTTATGAGATTGGTACTATTTGAGGGGTCTCCATTTTTTAACTTTTTAACTATTATATCAGATTATGCTAGTGTGTATATTTGCTGGTATACAAAAACCAGAACAAAACTTATTATATGTCGATGTCTCACATTGTCGTTTTGGGTTTTAGGAAAAAACATGTCATTCACAATATTATGGAATAAGATTAAAAATGAATAGGGAATGTTTAGAGTTGTAGAACCCCTTGTCTCTGGTCTTCGTCAGTTTTATTGCTTCTAAGCGAAATAGTATTACATGGAATATCAGCATTCTCCAGTTTTGGGGCTTACTGAACCAATTAGATGAGTTTATGTTACTTGCAAATGCATGGTCGATTAGTATCTTCAACACTAGTCCTCTTTCACACCCATCTCATTTCAATTCAGCAACTTAATGATTATTGTGGTAAAGATGATACTAAGTGTTTATGAGTATATCCATCTGGAAAACTCATTCATTGCATCACTCCCGATTTTTTATTAAATGGCTAGTGACCAATATTTGTGATATACCACTGATCTATTATAGTGGAAATTGATTATTTTTACCAACGAGTTGCCTTTTTAATACAATAATATGCATCTATTTTCTTTTGTAATACTTATCTTTGAATCAGAATTTCTTTTTATTTTATTTTATTATTATTCTTCTCGTTTTATAAATGAAATTTTCATTAGTTTTTACCTACTTTTGTGCAGACTGGTATAGAAAAGAATGTCTTTGGAAATCATCCAATTTCGTTGTCAGTGACAGAATCACGTAGTCCTCCACCTGCTTTTTCTTCTGATCCATTGATTGGTAGGGAAAATCATGGAAACTCAGAGTCAGTAGATGGATCAGAACTTTCTAAACTTTCAGTTACAGATATTGTGGAGATAGATGATCCTAATTCAGGAGGAAATTTCATGAAAAGCTCGAGTCCAGTTGGTGTAAGAGGATATCTTTAAGTGCACTTATTATGTATTCGTATATATCTTCCATTTTAATGAGTAGGCCTGAATTTTTTCTCGTCTTAAACTCTGTTATGCATTTGATATTTTATTCTATACAATTTTATTCTTGTTGCAAATAATTTAGCCTGGTGCTACCACAAGGAAGGGATCACTCCATGTTGACCGACAAAACTCTGAAATCTCATACTATGCTGATGATGAAGATGCGAAACGCAAAAAGTATACAAAAAGAGGTAATAAAGTGTATTTGATTGAATTTTGAATTTTGAATATTTAATTTTGTTTAATATTTGACATGTCATCTGCTTTTTACCTTGCTCTGGTCTTCTGTGCAGAACTTGTCTAGATAAATTTATTAATTTGAATTTTCCTTTGAAATTGTAGGTCCATTCTACCACAAGTTTCTTCGAGCATTGCTTCCTTTCTGGTCCAGCGCATTGCCCACTCTTCCAGTGACTGCGCCTGCAAGGAAAGAAGGATCAAATGCAACCGATGCCTCAGAAGTTCGTACACGGCATCCAAAGTCATCAAGAATGGACCCCAGAAAAATTCTTCTACTGATTGCCA